TTTTCCAAATATCATGGAAAATGTGCGTCTTTTAACAAAAAGTACCGAAACAAAAGTTGTAGAAAATTAAATTATCTTTCAAATGAGTTCAAAATGATTGTTGTACATTCCATAGATTTTGATATAATCAGTTTCAAACGTACAGAAAGTGCTTTTGTTACTTATTGTTAGATGCGTTAGATTAGTTTAAAAAAATTTATTTTATTTTCATAAAAGAAAAAGATTTTTATTTTTTATTTTTATCGTTTCTTCAGAAAATTTATTAAGTTTCATTTTCTTTTTATTTCATTTTCTTTTCACCTTTTGCTCTTCCTTTGCATTAGAGGTTTTTGAGCGATAACTTTTTAGGAAGCATTTTTCGACCCATGTTTATAGGAAATTTTTTGTTCAGAATTAAATTTCCTATAAGATCTCAAAGTCTGGCTGGAACGTTCGAGGCCACCCTGTATATATTCAACTTTATTTTACTTTATTCTGAGATAGTTAAAATCAAATAAAATATTTTCTCTTAATTCTCTATCATGTATGATTATATATTTCTTTTCGGCAGCAAAAAAAATTTGGTTTTATTATATATATAATTATTATATTGACGGTAATAAAAATTTGTATTTTGTTTTATTCCAAAAACGGACAGAACTTTCCGGTAGACCTGATATTATATGTATATATTATATTACAATATATACGTATATTTTATTATATATAATTGTGTGTGTAAAATTCTATTTTCCCTACTTTCATTATATTAACGTAAAATATTTAAAAAAAAGATAAAAGAAAAGATCAGCTTCCAGAGATTATCGCTTAGATTTATGATAGATTTGTGACAGTCAGTTAAAAAATTCGTAATTGTATATTTACAATAAGTTCCCCCCCCCCCCAAAAAAAAAAAAAAAAATATGTAAAAAGCTGTAATGTAGAAAATGAAATGTAATATATCGGGAACTATATATGAAGAGATAGAGATCGCGTATCTGTTTATAAATTCAGCATGAAGCATCTTAATTAAGAAGCAAAAAATATGAAAGAACGTTGTGCCGATTCTATTATTGTACTTCCGAGTAATAGAACACTTACACGCTTTGCCTTTTACGTGTTTACGTGGAAGCAGGCATTATACCGTGCAGTTTCTTTCCGCAGATACGATGGCCTCATTCGCATGTGCCTTAACTAACGATATACATAACGAGCGATCGTTCAATTAATTAAAACTGCAATGCTAAAATTTCTCGAGTCTTGCCACCGGTGTAATTGCCGGCGGCATTACATCGCTCGTGTCTCACTGTGAGTACATTCCAAATATGCTCTCTCTCTCTCTCTCTCTCTCTCTCTGTCTCTCTCTCACAATCAGATGTTTCAAAAATTTCGCGCAGGTACAAATAACGCGCGAGAGATACATATTGTATACGTGACGCGCCTCCGGCATAAATCTTTTTTTTGCCAGCAATTAGGCGCGATAAGGACGTCGTAAATCATCGAAATAATTGGTCACGCATTCCGCGAGCGATCCTACTTTACGCGTACTATCTTTTTAACGCCTGTCCGCGCAACCATTAAGTTCTCCGAAGTTACATACGGAAAATCCCGAACCCGTAAAAGCCTCTCCTTTCTCTCGTCGCGACGTTTAATCGAGCTTATATAATAATCGAATATCAAGCCAAATATAAATGAGCTTCGAGTTATCACTTTGTTAATATTTTTCTTTCATTATTCTATTTGAAAAGTTAGGGAAGAATCTCCGAAATCGCTGGATCGGAGAATCGAGGACGACGCGGATGTTGTCAATAATAAGATCAAGTGGCGTAAGGTTAATTGCCGAGATTCGAGCGGGGATCTCTGCGACCGGTAGTCTATACGCGAGGAAGGAGGATTCGAAGAGACGTGTGAGAAAGGCGAAGGAGGCGCAGCCTCCGGGGAAGATCTGCTATCTGAGACCCAGAGAGAAAAGAGAGAGAGAGAGAGAGAGAGAAGCGGGGACCATCTCTCGGCGGACCGCGCTTCTTCAACGCCCGGTTAATTCACCTCGGGCCCCGACTTCGCCACCTTCTGCCTCTTCCTCTTCTTTTTTCCCCCCTTTCACTTCTTTCTCATGCTCTTCTTCTTCTTCTTTCTACCTCGAGGCGAGGGAGGCGCGCACCACGTGCCTACTTGAAAAATCAGCGCCGTTACCGAGGGCCCTAATTAATTTACATAGCGCGAAGAGCGAGGAAAGGGGGGGAAGGGAGGAATAGGATTCCTCTGCGGGTTCCTACCCGTGTTACTCCGATTAATGTTGCCGATCAAATGCAGGGCTGTTAATCTTATTAACAGCCGCAACGCTCGCCGAGGCGCGAACTGAGTTTTTTAATCGGACGAGAAGACCGCGAAACGGAAGTCATCGGCGTCATTGAATTTTCAAAACTTAAATCTCGATTGAGCGAGAAAGCATACGGCTGAGAATTAAAACGACAGCGCGTTGCAATTTCGTCGATAATTTTCCTCTATACCATTTTCATCGTGTCATTATAATATTTGTACGTTTAATTAAAATTTTTTAAATAATATAGAATGTATGTATAATATTAACACAATTTTTTTATAATTATTTTCTGTATTGATTCTGATTAGAAAATGAATTAAGCGGCCTAAAAATTAAATTATTTCTATTTTGATTTTTTTCCTTTAATTCGATTTATCATTTAATTTTTTATTTATAGCTATGATTTTCTATATCAGCCTATATCTCATTGTCAGATAAGGTCCAAAATTTTACCAGCGCGTCAATCTTCGCAGAATTTAAAATCCCGCGAAAGTGAAGAGATGACCGGCTCGAAAAGGGAGGCCAGAGGTCTCACGAAGGGGCGGTAAGTGAACGCGGCGGCTCCCAGATATCGGGACAGATTGGGGACGACGGATACACTGCGTTGGGAGTCTTCGACTTCGGGAGATCCGAGACCCGACAATGAATACCTATTAAAACGGCGTGAACAATGCGCGCGAATCTCGCCCTCGCAGTATCGCAGCAACAGCAGCAGCAGCAGCATCCAACGTAGAGACGCAGCAGCAACAAGAGCGCTAAGTATAAGCCCGAGAGCCGCAACCCTCGGTGATATACTGCGAGATTCGCGATATCGCGCGGACGTAGCCAACAGCAGCAGTAACACACAAACACACACACACACACATACATACACATATATACATATACACAGATAGATAGACGGACAGACCGGTAGCACGGAGGAGGTCCTCCTCCGCACGTTCAATCCGGATTCGTGGCCGTGCATTACCTTGCATACGCTATTGCGCCCCGGTATATCAGCCATCTCGCTTCCTCTCGTTCACGAAGCGCGAAGATCGGCCGTTCCCGTACCGTGATGCCCACACCTCTTCCGTTAATGGATTCTTTCCCACCCGTTCCTCCTCCGCTTGTCGCTCCCTTTCGGAGGAAACGCCGTACGTGTACGTGTTTAGCGCGACAGTCAAGTATATCTCGATCAAATTAGCAGTCTATTTTCAAAATTCCGATATACATATAATATAATTAATGTCGATTAAGTGATTGAAACTGATAAAAAATCTTAAATATCCTTAGAAGTGACCAAGACAAATGTAAATGAACACAGATTCAAAAAATAGCGAATTCTTAAAGTTGCGACAGGTGACATGTTCAAAATTAAAATCTACAATTTAAAAAGTTTGCTTTAGATATAATTTCACATATTTAATGAACGATACCGTATTTTTAATTTCGAATAATTTTTATAGCACACGCTTGAACACACACGCAAATATATTATAATCTTGTGTATATATCATTATACATATATTAGAAATATCTCATGAGAAATAAATTAATATGATTCTTCTTTATAATAAAGAAAATAGTAAAAAATGACGTATGCAAAGACGACCTTATTTTTTTTACCCATTCCAGTAAATCCTCGGGGTAAAATCAATGAGCTCAATTTTTCGCGTTGGTGCAGGAGTCACTTTGCTCGTCGCGAGATTGGAAACAAAGAACGAATAATGGTAAAGCGAGGAAGATGAAAGCGTCTACTACCCATTATTCCGCTGCGATTTTTCGATTGGCCCCGATTGCGATTGCAGTTGAGATTGCACACCGGTGGTGCAGAAAGGCGTGCTCCCCCGCTATAGTTGCATAATTTCTGCATAGCCGGTCAAACGGTATTATTTCGAAGGAGCATCAATTTTATATGAATACAGAAACATCGATTAGCCTCTTTTTATTTACGGCAATAAAGTATCATCAAAAAATTTCGTCGACTAAAAAAGAAAAAAAAACTCGTTAAGGAACGAGATTTTTTTTAAACTAGGCTTAATTATTTATAATTTTTTTGCGTTATTTATTAATATCATTATTAAATAAAATTGTTATTGATAATTCAAAGACCATTTCTGATTATTTCGTCGTACGCGAATAAAATCTTATATCCTTTAGTTCCTATATTTTATCCCCGTGCAATGTACGAAACATGATTTTGATATTAAGCTATCAGTCGGTGGATAGTGGAAGAATGATGGGCGAGTCTATGGACCGCGCATTGTTTCCGGTTCTTATTGTCCTGAAGATATAACGAGTATCTCGCGTGCTGACAAAAGTAGATAGTTGCGTTACGATGGAATTCATAGCCACAACTTGATACTTCCCGTATCTTAGCTATCATTACGCAAACGGCGAGAATAAATTAATGAACTAAAATAATTCTATTGTCTGGTTTAGTTAAATTCGGCTGGCATGACAGAGATGCCAATAATTAAATGATGCGCGCACATAATTAATATACATTTTAAACGTAAACGTAAATAATTAATAAACATTTTAAACGTGTCGTAAATAATTCAAAATAATATTAAAATAACTAGAGATTTATGATCGAGTAAGATAAATTTTTAAAAAATTATCAGAAACGTGTAATAATTAGACGTAAAACTTGAATATATTCGGCAAAATTGCAATGGTGTGTCTGTGAAATAACTTTAAAAGCTTGCCTTACCTTGAAAGTAGCTCTTGGTGCGGAGGTAGCTTACGCTGAGTCTGAGGATGCTGAGTCGATCCAGCTTGCTGAGGATATTTTGCTCGAAAGGAAGTAATGATGCTAGTGTATCCAGCTCGGCGTTCAATCGCTCCCGATGTCGCTTGCTAGGATTCGACTTTGTCACCCCGTCCTTCTGTGGTGGTTTTAAGCTGCAACAAAATAAATATCGCATATATAGTATATATGAAACATATATATGGATTTAAACAATAATTTTAATAATATATAATTTTAAAGTAAAAAAAAATATTTTCAAAATAATTTCTCTGACCAATTTTATGCTAAAAATAAAAGGTCTTAAGAAAATAAATGGATAAAAAAATATATTGTTTCTGAAATAGTTTTATATTATATTTTATAAATAAAATTTTATTTAAAGTGTATTTCTTTGACAAAAAGAGTATTTTAAGAGTGTTTTATCGAAAACGTGCGATATAAAAAAGATTTACAGCCTCAATCTTATGAAAAGAAAATTCGTCAAAACACAATCTTGACTTCTAAAATTTTTTGAGATACCGTCGTTGAAGAAACACCGTCTAACATCGTAGATAAGACGCATCGTAAAGCCCTATAAAAATAAATCTGTTGCGAAACACCGCGGCAATTAGCAATCTTACTGATCCATGGCGATAAGGGTTCAATAACCAACGGGCTTTTGTTCCAAGCCACGCGATTCTAGAGGATTAACTTCGATAATCAAGTCGCGGCACGCTTGACCGTTATGCGCGCGCGCGGGATTTACATTTTACTCTTCATTACCGGAATCAGCGTGCACTTCTCGAATCGTTAACAACAGGCGGCCCGCATCCGCAGGACTTGGATAATTAAAAGTTGCCGATGCGCACCAGCAGGTCTAATTGACACCCTGCCGACACGCCGGTCCAGAGGTGTCCTTAAGCGCAGGACGCGTATCTAAGGTCGTAACTTGGAGTATTTACACCGGCGGGAGCGGCCGTCCGATTGGCGTAAAGTGCGTGAGTTATTTAGTAAATACGGCAGTGGTAAATGACAACTACTATATGGCTATTACACGGTGGTCCAACTAGCCAGCATTGGCGTAAACATTTTTGCGGAAATAAATGCGTTCGAAATGTCCACTGCCGTGAAAAATGACACTTGTCATCCTTTCTTAAAATCTTATCTTTAAAATTAATATTGATTTTTATTTTGTGTATATATATAATAAATAAATGTTATTATAAAATTTTATTATAAAATGTCATTATAAAATTTATTTATTACATATATAGGTAACTTGTCTCAAACATATCGTATAAGTTTGTTTTATAATTATAAAATAAACTTATCCGACATGTCTGAGACAAGTTACCTACATATCGCAATGAAAATTTAAAATCGTGACCGTTAAAATATTCTTTGTCTGCAGAAATTTTATCAAGGAGAAACGTAACACACTTCTCTCTTATAATTAATATCAGAATATTACAGAAATATTTTCTTTGACAGATTCTTTAATGTTTTTAAAAGCAAATACGGAGGAGCAATGCCGCGCCATTGGCAACTTGCAAAATTAACATGTAAACCTCGTTTTTAAATAACGCGCTGTCCGCTTAATTAAAACGCTCACCACGGGTGTGGAAGCCGTTGACGCATCATAACAGACAATATGACGTGTAATCCCATCACAATGAAACGCTTACGAAATTAAAATCGCAATTTAAAGAGTGTACGGAGCGTACAAAACGTTCCAGAGTCAGCAATAATATGCGGCAGAGTCAGCAATAATATATAGAAGAAAATTTCGCAAATTACAGGACCTTTGTGATCAAATGTGGAAGTTAACACCCGAAGTTAAATGCATTATCAAAAGTTATATCTTAATTAACAAGTATCGTGAATCCATTACAGTTCTTTGAAGAAGTCTTTTCTACTAAAAGATATCATAAAAAATTATATTCACTTATAAAAATTCCTTATAATTTATAAAAACGTAGAAAATTTTTTAATTTTGTTTTCTTGCTTTAAAACGAGCGTTTCCATTTTTATCCTTTGACCCGAAATGTCCATCGATTCTCGCCGCGCTTGATGCACTATAAGTTGCATCATTAACGACTCCCGCAGATTCCTTGACGCCAGCTCGTGGTGTTGCCCGTGGAATTAATATGCAAAATCAAATTTTATACGCATCCGGCAACGGGCTGTTTGTTTAATTGAAGAGCTGGCGAGGCGGAAACGGTACCCATGCGACGCGGAACGAGCGCGGAATACTCCCGGGCCCGTCAAAGACACCGCGGCGGCCATTCTCGCGCAGACCTGTACTTAGGAATAATTATTATTCTTACGAGGTATACATATATTTAACGGCCTTTTGCGCGGCCTTTCTCGCGCTCTCTGTCCCCGAGGGACTCGCCAAGGCCTGCGCAAGAAAGCGAGATGAAACAGCGTCGGAATGGTTCGCGAGCAGGACCAGTTCTTATCGCGAGGTATTAAGAAAATAGTGTTAATGAGATGTCACTGTGTGTGTATGTGTGAGTGCGTGTCGCTAAAGAACCGACGGGACGCCTCTCTTGTCTTTTGCCTCGCGATGTATCTTACACTACGGCGTATTCTTCTGGCATGATGATCGATATGTAAATAGACATCAGTTATATGAAAAAAATGTGAGAATGAGATAGAAATAATTTTATGAGAAAAACATTACCATTTTAATTAGCGTTTTAGATCTTAAATAAGATTCCAAAACACTGCAACATATAATTTCAATATATTCACAGTAAAAAGTAAAAAAATATAATGCAAAAAAGTATTTTGAATGATAAAGAATAACGATATTCACAAATTGACAATATAACGATATGTAAAGGATATCATCAACATGTACGATAGTAAATAGCCTGCGATCATTCAGTAGATTATCATCTTATGGCCTAACAGTTGGAAATTCCTGGAATTTTATTTTTATTTCCATCTATTATTTTTATATCAAGATGGATTCTTAATTAGGACTGAATTCTATTTATTGAGCATTTTTAATTAGAGCTTGAAAAAAGAGATGCGGTTTTATTATAATCAAATAAATATTATTAATATTTAATAATTAAGATATTCTAATCTATTTATTTCTTCATCAAAACTCTTTTAATTTTCAATATTTTATTAACTATTGATTATTTCTTTTACTGTTTTTTTTTTTTTTTTCTTTAATACTTGTGTGCTTGAGAGAATATCCAGCGATTTTGAGACATCCTATATATAAATACATTTCCAAAAAATATAAAAGATAGTTCAATGAACTCGGTTGGGGAACGTTGGAGTTGACATCGTACCCACGTGGCTCACGCGGTTCCGCTCCTACCCCAATAATTAGCTTTGTTTTACGCTGAGAAGAAGGAAGAGGAGAAAGGGAAACGAATGTCCGGCGACGTACTAATGATATCCGAATATGAAACTATTTCTCGAGGACCTTGGTCGCGCGTTCCTCGTCCTGGATAATGGATTCGGTGTCGTCTAATAATTAATAGAGTTCTTCTTGGCGCAGCTGCGCTGAGCGATATACAATCGACAATCCCATTCATCACGCTTTCTAACCCCTAAGCATTTTAATTAAAAGCATCGCTTCTTTAACGCGTTTACCCTTTTCGAAGAGTCGCGGTTTCTGAGGACAACAACGGCGTCTTTATCCTAGAAGACAATATTTTTGATAGCTTTATAGATTAAACTCGGTTTATTTAGGTCATTTAAAAAATAAAATATTTTGATACTTGTATGCATAATAAATTCTTTTGCCACATTTTACAATTAATAAATTAAATTTTATTACCTAAAATGTTAGCAATAATACAAAATAGAGATTTATTATATTTATTACATTTTTATGTATACTTTTACACATTTTATATCTATATATCCAGATTTAGTTAATTGGTATTTAACCGAGCGCGTTTTATCCCATCATTAGTATCAAAATTATTCAAACGATATCGAAAGCAATAATATGGAAGTAATATAAGTAGTATACTCGGTCAGTCTTGCATAATGCGAGGGACTTACACACACCGAAAGCATCTATAGAGACGAGATATCGTGCGAACATAACTGTGTATAATATAACTATGGACGGACCTTGCACGATTATAGCTACCTCAGAAATACAAACGAGACTCGACGCTATGTCATTATCCGTAGATATAGTAACTGCACCTTGATGACAGATAGATAAAAAAATTATAGATTCGAAGAAACAGTGCGACACGTCCCGCAGAATCGCCCGAAGAATATACGCGTTATGCAGTTTAAATTTATTCGCTGTCAGAGGGAAATTTTGTTCCTAAAATATCCAATTTATATCGAATAAATCTATATTTTGAGAGAAAAAGAGAATAATTTAAAATTATTTTATTTTCATGTATATTTAATCCTAGATATTCGATTTTTAATCAATATAAATGAATATGTTTCTCGATTAAACGAAGAAACAGAAAATAAAGTTACAGGCGTTCAAATTTAGAGCTAAACGCGATATTGAATGTAAGTAAAAATAGAAATTACCTCATCTTGAGCGTTTATCGATCATTTCGAGCGAGTTAAAAGTAATGCATGATCTTACGTCTGCCAGCAAGTTGGCCAGGTGATAACGTGTCAAGTTCTCGCGCCCCTCCCGATATATAATCCACACGCATGACATATTATCGTTCGTAGCATTAGACCAGTCGCGTAGATGCGTATCGACTCTGCGAACCGTGACATACTCGAAAAACATACAAGTATATATATATATGTATACTTCAGGCTCCATATAATGGTCGGCGGCAATGTTGCCGCTAAGGTCGTTAAGGAAAGGTCTCCCGGCAATTTTCATCTTGGAGTAAATCATCACGGTAATTTTCAACATTTTCTTGGAGAGACAAGTTCACCGACTTTTCGAAGAAAATCGCTGGGGAAGATCCGCTCGACAAAAACATACTCGAGTCTTAAATTCCAGCGGAATATCTTTTGCAAGCGAATTTTATGAATGACAGCGCATTTTATGTTGCGTTGTAATATGGATCGAGATTCTAATTTCTCATAAATTATAAATTCAATCCAAGTATTGAGAATTATATGTACGCATGATAAGGGTAGATAAAAATTCCCGAGTACCTGCGTAATTGTCGAAAAACGTAATTAATAACCGATCATTCGATTAAGAGTTATAAATTGGTTGCGCTCTCTCGTTGGCTAATTCCGTAAGCGACTGACTGATTAGAATTAAATAACATGAGTTACAAGGTGGCGCGTTCAGACGGTCGGAAGCTCTCACCGCACGCCATCCTCGAATCCATCAGGCGGGTAAATCCCAGTCAAGGTTGCCTCGGTGCTCGCATTAAAGCCTGTTTTGTGCACTGCCATCCTCGGAGCGCGCGCGCGAAAAGAGGAAGATAAGTGAACAAAGAATGGCCGATGACTCGGGAGTATGATCGGTCGATATTTTAAGGGCACCGAATACAAAATCGCGCGAACAATGGGAAAAGAAAAAAATGACAGCAAGTGGAGAAAGATCCAAGAGATATTTTCCTGAGAGTTTTTCCAAACTTGATCCTTTTTCTTCTCAAAATTCGATTGCAAATCTTTTTGTAAAAAAGTTTAATATAAAATCAGAGAAATTATATTTAAGTAACTTTAAATAAATAGATAAATTATTGCATTATATATTCCTCCAATTTTTCATCGATTTACTTTTATTTTTTCATTGTGTTATTTAATTATATATTTTTATACATTAATATAATTTGCCAATTATATTCAATTCTAATGGAAAAGTGAAAATTTCGTTCCACATTCACCGGAAGTAACATACGCGGCCGGCTGTCCACGTCTCATACACAATACCCGACATTTATTACATATTCATGTAATAAAAAATACAAAGTGTTCACGTGTACAACTTCAAATTTTATTTTTTGTTCTATACTTTTATTTTAATTAATTATTTTATTAATTTATTTTATTAATTATCCTCTTAATATATAAATAAATAAATTAAAATAGAATGATTACTACATTTTTTTATCAACATTAAAATAAATATATTAAATAATTCGTCTAATAAACAGATTCTTATTATCTTTTTGGAATTTATCTCTGGCGAATAAAATCGCTGGGGAAGATCCGCTCGACAAAAACATACTCGAGTCTTAAATTCCAGCGGAATATCTTTTGCAAGCAAATTTTATGAATGACAGCGCATTTTATGTTGCGTTGTAATATGGATCGAGATTCTAATTTCTCATAAATTATAAATTCAATCCAAGTATTGAGAATTATATGTACGCATGATAAGGGTAGATAAAAATTCCCGAGTACCTGCGTAATTGTCGAAAAACGTAATTAATAACCGATCATTCGATTAAGAGTTATAAATTGGTTGCGCTCTCTCGTTGGCTAATTCCGTAAGCGACTGACTGATTAGAATTAAATAACATGAGTTACAAGGTGGCGCGTTCAGACGGTCGGAAGCTCTCACCGCACGCCATCCTCGAATCCATCAGGCGGGTAAATCCCAGTCAAGGTTGCCTCGGTGCTCGCATTAAAGCCTGTTTTGTGCACTGCCATCCTCGGAGCGCGCGCGCGAAAAGAGGAAGATAAGTGAACAAAGAATGGCCGATGACTCGGGAGTATGATCGGTCGATATTTTAAGGGCACCGAATACAAAATCGCGCGAACAATGGGAAAAGAAAAAAATGACAGCAAGTGGAGAAAGATCCAAGAGATATTTTCCTGAGAGTTTTTCCAAACTTGATCCTTTTTCTTCTCAAAATTCGATTGCAAATCTTTTTGTAAAAAAGTTTAATATAAAATCAGAGAAATTATATTTAAGTAACTTTAAATAAATAGATAAATTATTGCATTATATATTCCTCCAATTTTTCATCGATTTACTTTTATTTTTTCATTTTTTTATTTAATTATATATTTTTATACATTAATATAATTTGCCAATTATATTCATATATAAGATATATTCACGATGATATATTTAGTATTATTGGATATATATATATGTATATACTTTCGCTTGACATCGGTTATGTGTATTCGTCGACGCTATTTCGCGTCGACGGCAAGAACCGGAGGGATTGGTTGTTGGAATGGAGCTCGAAGATGCGCAGGCGCCGCCGAGGGTGGGTCCACTATGGATTTTCGAGGGTAGATATACCAGCGGCCGCGAGTTCCGGGGTGGCAGACAGCATGGGGTAGCAATGGAAGCTCCCACCGCGGTAGGGATGGTCACCCTGATAGCCGCCGCGTACGAGGGGTGATATATACCCCTCGAAGAGGGAGAGAGAGAGGGTGAGAAAGAGGAAAGCTATCTTGGAGTACTCGACCTTGGACCGATCCCTTCTCACGCGAGAGAGGCGATGGCAGATAAAATGGAGCACGTTGTCTCTGTCATTGTCGAAAGATGGATTGTAAACGGAATCGCGCGTTTGCGACTAGTTGGCCGGCGAGCTGTCAGTGCCGAGCGCCCGATTTAGACGAGAAAAACAAGGCACTTCGTCGTTAAAATAATCAATTTAATGAATGAGCACGCGTGTAACTAGCATAGGTGCGGCATTGAAAGAAGCAGCCGTGTAATTATATTCTTTCTGAAATGCGAATGTAATGCTAATCGTTTTTAATTGTCATAGAGTTGTAATTGAAGAACGAATCACACTTAAGCTATATTACTGTTGTCCATTTTTATAAAACATTTTAAAAATAGTATAATAAAAATAAATCGTAATTAATAATGTTAATAACGTGATCTTAAATTTTAATACACAAGGAACTTTATTTATTGACTGATCTAAAAATACATTATGCATGCCGGAAATTTTTCCATGTAATTAATTATGTTCTGCGTCATCGGAATATTTTCATATTCCGTGAGAGAGACGAAGAACCGATTTTATCGAATCAGATCCTAGGGGACGATACGCAGGTATCGGTCACGTGGCCGAAAAATTATGACTTGCTTTATTGTAGATAATGGCTCAGGTGCTTTTCAGGGGTCCCGCGCCCGCGATAATCATATTCTAATGGAAAAGTGAAAATTTCGTTCCACATTCACCGGAAGTAACATACGCGGCCGGCTGTCCACGTCTCATACACAATACCCGACATTTATTACATATTCATGTAATAAAAAATACAAAGTGTTCACGTGTACAACTTCAAATTTTATTTTTTGTTCTATACTTTTATTTTAATTAATTATTTTATTAATGTATAGAATTATATTTTACGATAAGTAAAACAACAAGTCGCAAGTGTGTGTTTGTTCCTTGTTTAAAAAATGAATGTCACACGCGTGAATACCGTAACACAATTATCGCGGGTATTACGAAAGCTATTTAACGGTCCGTAACTGGTAGATCTTAACACACGAGACGAAGTATTGAATCTACAATAATAAGCGATTATCTCCAGCGCGATCTGGAACCGGTAACAATACGTTGAATTCACGGCTGCATCCGTTTAACCGACTCGAAAAGATTTTCCCAGCGTTCATTTATGCTGTATTGAACCCATTCAGAAAAAACATTGCACATTGCGGTAAAAACGCTTAACCCTACTGGAAAATAACAATTACGCGAGCAGCGACTGTAAATTACCGCTGCTATGTAAGTATCCTTCATCACGCCACAGAAGGCAAGCGAATGTTTGAAAAAAAAAAAAAAAAAAAAAAAAATCATATGCTCGTTATCATATCACAATACACTATCTACGATAATAAAATTATTGTCACATGTGAGTATAGATATTATTTTCGCAATTTTATTTTTCTTATAAATGAAAATATTTTTCTAATATTAGCAAAAATTAAATAAAAATTGTTTACGTAATTCTTTAAATATTAAAAATAAAATATTGTACATTTTCGCGTGTTTAATATTCGGAATAAATCGCTTATTATTATGTTAATTTTTCAAACTAATTCTAAAATTTTGAAAAGGGATTAGAAACTAACATATAATATTCTGAAAACTTTGGTTGTTTTCGTGGGGAAAGCAGTATTTATACAATTAAAGTAAAATCTCTTTTAAGAATCTCATTTCGTGAATAAAAAGATATGTAGCTGGCTTTGTAAGGATGGATCTTTTAACGAGTAATGAGCAGTCTTAATAAATTGCGAAAATGGCTGTTTACCTAGCTCTATAAAATCATTTCTCGCAGGTCAACCATGCGTGGAGCGTGAAAACGCATTCCACGTATCGTTAGCGGTGCAGATCCCGTTTCCAGCCCACATATCCACGCGGAATATTCCACAGAGACTTACTTTACGCATGTTTCAATGGATCATTTTCAATCGATCTCTGAAATTAGTGCGCGCTATAAATATCTATTTGCTATTATGTAATCAATGACAAATTACAAAGTGTTGCGAGTGTTTGAACATCGTGTGTCGTAATGTTGACACGATGTGACAGATTTGAAAAATTAATCCAGTCCCTCTTACGTCATAATCCATCCATGTATTAAGTGTCTGAGATTTGATGATGATACAGGAATATCGTTTTTTTAATTATGTATGTTTCAGTGAATAAATTATGCAGATCATTATCGCACATTTAAAATAGTTATATTAAAAAAAAAAAAAAATCAAATTCATATGTCTCAATTTTAAATTTCTATATTGATGCGTTCTTTAAAAATAGTAGCACTTGATGCAGTCGATATCAGTGCGTATTTCACAGGTAGCCAGGAGATCACCGGCCGCATCGCAATTAATTATACACACACAACCAAAGCGATTATAATAATTAACTTTTAGGAAGAGCGAAAAGAGA